AATTGGAATTTTTGAGATTTTTCGGATGAATTCGATGAATTGTCACTATATGGTGAAGGTACCATTTTTTAACTTTACATGGATTTTTTTCTTTTGCAATGTGTTATTTGGGTTCTGTTCTGATGATTTAAGCATAAAAATAAACAATACTGAAAGTATAGTGTATTTTATGCCTTACAAAAAAATTCAAAAAAAATCAAAAAAAATACAAATTTTTACCATTTTTGATATTTCGCCGTTGAGCCGTGACATGTCAGTTTATATTTTTTTTGCAAAAAAACGCCTGATTCGTGATCAGGGGATCCCATAGCCAAGGTTATTACCCTCGCCGTATTTGATTTTCAATTTTTTCATATTTCTGCTACACCCTAGTGTCTATCTCACACATTCATAAAAAAAAATGCGCACAGCATTGGAATTTGTATCACACATTCAACACGCAATGTTGAGTGTACTACATGAATGAAAACAATCATCAAATATTTGTCTTCCATTTATCTTTCTCGATTGTGACAGCATTCTTTTTTCTATAACTTTTTTCTCGATTCAGTTTTATAAGTCGTACAGTTATTTCGGTAAACGTATTCAAAATAACAAGCTATCGACGATGGTGTTCTTCAAGTGAATAGTTTATTACATAAGACATATCGAATCACGTGGCTATTTACGTCTACACAGTAAAATATTCCCACTTTGATTTAACATTGAATCTATGAATCGAATCAATCGAAAAGAGTTCAAAACTTGTGTGCATTTCATCGAAAGAAATAAAGAATGTGCTACTGTTCGCATTTTTGTTATTGTTTACATTCAATGGTGCGAACCAAAAACAGCTCAAATAGCATACTGTCAGTGCGTGCGTGAGTGTATTTTAAAAGAAATATTGCACATTGACTTTAGCGAGAAAAGAGAATAAAAGAAAAATTAAATTGAATAAAGCAAGGGCAATATATAGTTATTCCTAAAATTCACATCGTTTAATTATGCGCGTCGCGCGCATTCAATTTTGCACTCCACATTCAATGTATTTTCTGAGAAAAGAGAAGAAAAAAAGAAATTCTAGGCTGAATCATAGATCACTCGTAAAAAATCATAGTTTTTTTCTGATTTGATAACTCCGCTTTTTTTGCGTTGGCATTCGATTTTATGCTCAACTCGTTTATTTTGTTGCATCTATTCTCTTTGAATGTTGCATATGATTGTTGTACTCAACTCATTGGCGAAGAAAAAGAAAGACAAATGAAATATGCACTGGGGATTGGCTTAAAGGCTTCTCAATTTCAATGGCTCATGGTCAAGCATTTGAATACATACAACAAATATCTTTTGCTTGCAAACGATAATTCGATTTTCATCTCGAAGCGAAACAAAAAGAAAAACACCATTGCCAAGCCACGAAATACAAACACATCTATTTTAAAACGGAACCAAAGCGAACTGATTCATTTTATGCTTTTTATACATAAATTCGTTGTTTATTGTTCAGCAAATTTTCACACTTTTTTCCTTCTCTCGTTTCTTTATCGAAAACTGTGTGTACGTTTTTCTTCTTTCTCATGTCTGAATTTCGTTTTTCCTTCAGTAATCGCTTAGACTTATTTTTCTTATACATCTCTGTATGTCTTTCATTCAATGTGTGTGACGTTTATAGCGCAAGCTCAATCTGCACACACAACAACAACCTCAAAAATCTCTATTTTTCATTTCTTTTTTAAAATGAAACGACGGACGAAAAAGCAACACATATTTTTATATATAGCAGCAAACGCGAAGAAAATCCCATGATTCAAAAAATAATGGGTGGGATGCGATTAATTTTTAAATTTTTCACGTATGCTTTTTTCTAATAACGTTTTTTTTTTCAAACTTATTTTGGATTGTCGAAATCATCGTTCATTAATATAAGCCAAAACGGCATGATGTTGGGTTCGTTTACAGAAAATCACTTGATTATAATTTGCACTACAAAATTACTTCCACAAAAATTCGTTCACAAGGAAATGGCAAAAGTTATCCTAATCCACGGAAAATCAACACTAACACATACATTTCCATCAAATTAAAAAAAAACTTTCATTATTTCTCTTGTTCAAATCAATTCACTTTTTTGGGTTCATATCACTCATAATTACACACATTATAAAATTCACTAAAAATGTAAACAATTAAATGTGATACCTTTTTCTGTTGTTTTTCCCAGGCTGGATCTAAAAGACCTTCACGTTCCCATTCTTCCTCTTGCTCCATATAAGCATCACCGTAATCCACAGCGTATCCATTTTGTTCCAACATTTTGACTTGTGTATGTGTGTTTTTACTATCGGCTTTCGATTCGATTTATTCAATCAAATGTGGTTTTTGGATTGTCGAAATACAAAAAAAAAATAAACAGTTCGTTCGTTTGGAGTCCTTAGATATCTGGCACCTTAATATATCCAAATTGATTCACAGATTAGTTATTTGATCGCATTGAATGGATTTAAGGCGAGAAATTGGCATTTGAAATATGAAATATCGTACACATTACCAATGCATACTTTTTGATATATCTATTTCAAATTCAAATTTTCCGCTGCAGAAAAGAGAAAAGCGTAGGATTCAACGAAAATGAGTAGAATTCTTGAATTATAAAAAAAACGAAATTCACGAAGATCTCGGTGTCGCACAAAAGTCGACTTTTTTATGCGTGAAAAAGAAAAAAAATCCAATATTTATTCTTGTAGTAAATCGCACCATGCGAAAACACGGAAACTAGAAGAAGACGATGAAAAAAATTGAAAATCTTCTTTTTTTGCGGTCGATTTTAAAATTAAACTTGCGTAACGATCTTCATATTACATCACACACACTCTTTTTCGAGCCGTTTTTCCTTTTTTCTTTTTTTTTCTCTCGTTCGATTCGATTTTTTTCATCTTCTTGTGTTGCTTTAGCTACATGCTATGGGTATGCGTTTTGTTATTTGTGCTTTTCTTATTTTTATTAGTCGTTTTATTTTCTCTATCTTCATTCGACCGATGACTGCTGCCTGTTTCTAAAAATATTCGGATTTCAATTTATTTGGTGTATGTGCGTTTCGCATTGGTGTACTTGATCAAATACTATACACACTGATCGCTTCTGGTTTTAATTGACTTTTAGTAAAATTCATTTTATGTATGCGCCCCGTTGAAAAGGCACACACAATTTAGTTGGAATCGCATGCTTTCTCTCTTTTCACTTTGAATCGCTTTTGACCGAAATGCGGCCAAATTCATGCAATTTCAATCGAACAAATATTTGTCATTGGCGTTCGAAAGACAAAAGGAATCAAAAAACCGTTTTTAATTTTAACCGTTTTGTTTCTTTTCATTTCTTTCTTTATTTTCTAAAATTAAATCACTTTATTTCAACGAATGCGTAAGAACCGCGTTTTCTCTTGTTTTGTTTTTTTTTTAGATACACAAAAGTGGACAAAAAATCGATGAATTTTAATTGGTATCGATTGCGCGCTTTAATCGGCAACAGATAAGAACTTTGGAGATGGGTCAAAAGAGACAGATAGAAAAATAACTTCGTTGATTGAACAACGAGGAAAAAAATATCGCACCTACTTCAAGCAACAACGTTACGGAGACCGCTTGCGTTGGAAGCCAACTCAAAACTAAAGAACCTGTTCGTATAAAATTATTTTCTTAGCGATCGTATGCGCAAGAGACGGTTCAGAGATAGAGGCGACCGAAGATCGAAACAAACATACACGCGTGTCTTTATGCATACACTAAAAGAGTCAGTTGGGTCGATTGTGAGCGCGCGCTCGCTTACTCACTCTTCAACACAATGTATACATATCATACGGTACACACATTTTATGTCAGCCGATGCTGTGTATGAAAAGATAGAATTTAAAACGACCTGGGTTCTTGCTTCAAAACATTCACACTCAGTCTATCTGAGATGCGATGAAAAAAGAAAGAATAAGAGAAACGAACTGAAAGATAAACCGCACATCGAACGCAATCATCGACGACATGTTTATTCAATTCAAATGAACATAAAATTCGTTTGGCTGATGCTTTTTCTTCCCTCTTGTCGCATCATTCTCTCGGTTGTTGTGCGCTGTCTTCGCATTTAATGCCATTAGTACATTTTATTATGCGAAAAGAGGAAATTGAGCGCGTGTATATGATCGTGCCGAGATGTGATCGACAATTACAAGTTCGAAACAGCAGCCACAGTCACAGCCATAGAAGCAATAGCAGCAATGAGAATGAGATCTTGAGTGTTTGCGATTCTTTTATTTCGTGCATATCGGTCGCATTTTAATTGAGAGAAAAGAAAATTCAGTATTATTTTCTTATTTGCAATATGTATTTCTCTCGGTAATGTATGTTGCTGTTTTGTGCATGCATCTCATGTTCGTGATGTATACTTGAATGACATGCACTAACTTACTCATATTCATCGCGCTCAAAACAAAACACAAAATATGTATTTTATACATACTGGTTGTTGTATGCATCATCATCATCATCATACCGGGAATCATGTTTCCCCGCATGTATGCAAATTCAATAGATCCCATTCATTGGTTTAGAATGCGCGTTACATGTCACAAAACAAATCAGAACGATTGATTGATAAATTGTATAATATGATGAAGATGATTGATCAATAGAATGCATTGAGTGCAGCAACCGGTAGACTTACTTCTTGGCATTCGTACAAAATGAATTGCATATGCCGATAAATAATGATATTGCTTACAATGATGAAAAATGTAAAGAGTTTGTTGAAAAATCACACTTGTCGTCTCTTCGGCCTGTGCTGTGTGGTGTATGTGTGCATGAGTGTATTTAACACTTGCTTTCAACGGTATGAAATTTGCGACATGCAAATACAAAATGATTTGCTTTAAATGATCCACGATTTCTGACTCATTACAAGATTACGTGTTGCGCTCATGCGAAACATTCTTTAAAAATATCGAATAGACCCACGGTCTATTTTTAGGTGAATTGAAAATAAGTCATAAACATCCAAAGTACAGTGTGTATATGAGCGGTTGTGCTAACTGCTGCTACATTGCTTTTTCATTAAACTACTGCTTTTTTTAGTGACTTGATGACCACGCTGCTGTGAAATTATTACAACACATCGAGTCGAGCTCAAAATCTGAGAGTATGTGGGCTACGCACTCGCGCGAAAATTTCGTGGTGCTCTTGTCTCAAAGTCAAACGATGATACAGTTCAACGACGCATCGACCACTAGCTGTTCTTCAATTGCCGTTTTTGTGTAATCTTGATTTTGATGCAGACAGAGAAAATAAAAAAAATATATATTACATACATCAAGCTTTTTATGAAATTAATAAAAAAAAAGTTATTAAAAGCAACAAACAATTTATATTTAGACGAAGAATAGATGAAATGATACGAACATCTAAAAGATAATTGCCGCTAAGAATAAAAATTTCAATATCTTAAATGATGAAGGCAATCATAGGCCGAATGTGTGAAATAGATTGGCCGAATATCTAATTATAAATTGGTGCTATTTTTGTCATTTGTATTCAGTTTGATTGCGATGAAAAATGGAAAAAAAGAGAGAAAATAGTTTGGTATCTTGGCGATTAAGTGAGCGTATCAGTACCACTTGATCAAAGCTTGTCTTATGACTATTTTTTGATAATGAATGCGAATGTGTGCACTCATACAGTCGCATATTTTGATGAAAGCCGATGTGATGTATATCGTTATTCATATCATGTCAGAATTATTTGCCAAGAGCAAAATGCTAAATATAACTTATCATTGGTTGTGAATCCACCAAGCATCATGTGTTTATTGTGTAAATTTCGGCCTGTGCGATGCAGAGGGAGTCTAACAGTATTTTTAACTTGATGACTCCAGACACTCGACACTCAAAAATTTATGATTTTTTCTTCGCTTTGATTTTCAAGAGAAAAAAAATCCGCATGAATGAAAATGATTTTAATAGGCAGCAGTTGAAGTGGTTTTGTGAAACAAATTTGATTAGAATTGAGAGCAATGTTTGATAATGAAATGAAAGCTCAGTCTCAAAACGATGCGAAAATAGCAGGTATAATATGCCAAGCTGAAATGTCGACGTAAAATAAGATTAATGCTAAGTAATTTTTTGTCGTTCAGTCAAGTGTGCAAAAATATGAACCTCTTAACGACTGATGTGAAAGAATGCTTACGCGTAAAACTGCAACACCAGTACATTGAAATGGATATCACATTAAAAAATCACATAAAACAAGTTGTTCAAGCTATGAACCGATTTTTCAGGTCGTTTTCACATTTTAGAAAACAAACATGCACATACATACGCTTCATTATGGTTCGCACATCACGATGCGACGCAACTTCTCATAATCAATAAATTGTCTAATCCCGTTAACAACGCCAACAACACCGTGTGCACAAAATCACAACACAAACAATGAACGTGGAAATGAGCGAAATGAGGAAATGTTTCGCACTACCGCAATGCCATCAAATGTGTACTGTACAATTTTGAGAGTTCAGCTGAACTTGCAGTGGATAAAATAAACAGCGACTTAACAATGGCAGCAAACATATAAAAGTGGCAATGTTCGAGTATATTTGAATCTGCACCCTCTCATAATATTGTCTGCCAATCAGATGCGAATGTAGTGGTTAATACGGCAACAAACAAAGCAAAGACCCTTTCCGCATATATGTACAAGTACATTGTACACAAACACAGTGCTCAATGCAGACATGGTTGTGTATTTCATGCACACGTCTATAAATCGAAACGAAAGACTACAGACAAAAAAACACGTTTTCAAATGGATTTCAATGGTTTTTACACCCGTCGCCGGAATATTATTTCGTTTTCCATTGAATAAAACACCATTTTACAAATATGGAAACATTTCTTTTTGGTAAATTTCCAATCTTGGCATAACATGACTAATATTTGGGTGCGTATGTGTGCGTGTGATTCATTGACCACTGATCGCTCTCATGGAACGGGTGTGTTGCTGTTTTTTTTCATTTATTCATTCAAATTTAAATGCAAATATTTGCGTATCATTCAATGAATGCCAAAATTCGGTGTACGGGCCATTTTATGAATTGACTGCTTTATGAATTGGCAATTGGGTTGCCATTTAAATACATGAAATTTGTGGAGACCAGAATTTTTTTTCGTTCAAATCCGTGAACTGATTGCCACTCGTTCAAACGTCGACCACGAAACACAGGATGCACGAAATATATAAAATTGCAAACAATTGCTTTTCGTATAAAATGCAGACACCAGACACCCTCATATTTAAATGACACATCGGTTTATAACATATGCATATACATTCGTTATTTCTCGGTTATTGTGAATACTGAAAAAGTAGTGTGTGAGGAGCGTCGTATGCCTGACAGCCTTTCGAATTCACATTTCGCACAATGTGCACAATATCGTTAATAAAAATGCAGCACTAAATGAAAGCGACAATAAAAAACAGAATGTACAACATTCATACAAATGTAGTAGCAATACCAGCCGCAACTTAGCTGCTGAATGAACAAAGAAATTTGCTCCAATACCACTCATGTTTAGAATTGTTTGGTTGTTACGATTTGATTAATGCTTAGGCTCTGCACGTTCGTATCAGAGAAAAAAGATAGAAAAAACGAAAAACAGCTCGTAGCGTTTGTTTAGGCCGAATTTATTACTGTTCAAACATCGTTTCATTGCCGCCGATGCGTAATTTTATCTATTTACTTTTCAGCGATTTTAATCTACGTTAGTACTGAATGATAAAAAAATTCCCACTAAAAATTTGCCAATCGTCGAAAATGTCCATGTTAACTGACTAATTGTAAATACCAATTCTATGTAATACAATAATTCAATCACATATTGGAGTTTACAAACTTACACACTAAATTGAAATTTATAATTGAGACGAGGTAATACACACTATTAACACAAATTTATCATTTACGGCCGATTTAACGAAAATTTTAACACTTTAAACCCACTGGAGACCGCGATCACATATCTAGTTTGACGCGTTTTTCCAACCGCTTTTTTTGGCCTTATCAAGATTCATTAAAAAAACTGTGAATATTAACGTTGTTGTTTCACTTTGTTTTCAATTTTATGATCGGCTGAGCAGAAAACCTTAGAACTACTCCAGCGGATGAACAAAGCACGAAGCACAAATTACGCACGAGATATTATATGTATACCTATATATTTTTATTATTATTAATTAATTATATAGTATTGAGACGGTATTAAGTTGTGAGATGCTTTTTTTAAGAACAAGCGAGAGAATGAGACTGCGATGTGATGAGTTGTTTTTATGTACACACCGAGTGTGAAAAACGAAAAGAAGTACACAGCACAATAGACAAAATAAAAAGAGAAATAGATAAAAAAATAAGACGCCGAATATGACGCGACAGTAATAATATCGTACTCGAATAAACTACCACAAACGAATGACAGTACAATGTGAAATGCGTTTTAGTTTATATTCGCCCTGTGTGCTCTTTACTACTGCGTTATGATGCGAGTATAACTAGTAAGCAGACAATAACAATCTCAGTGTTGTACACACATACAGTCATGGCCGATGACGAGGCTGTGTTCTATTGCAGCGAGCATTGTGAGTGTTACCTACCTTACGAATTGTTCGAAACAAATGGATGGGAAAGAGAGAGAAAAAAAACACTTAATTTTAATTCAGCTGGTAGTATTTCTTCGGCCACAACTAGACATACACTTCAATCGTGATCGACTGCACAATTCGTATCATCTGCATGGTTATCGTGTGTTTGTATGCGTTTGAATTCTTTTGGAGAGACGTAACAAAGACGATGTATACGAGTGAGTGGGACAGCTGTCGGCTTTATTTGTTTACAATTGTTCCGAAAAGCCGACAAACCAACTTCATGCGATAATCACCTTTTACTATAAACCAACAGATGGCGTTGAATGATTCAAATGTAGTTTTTTCTTTTTTATTCAGAAAAAAACACACCATATTTTATCTTTTGTGTATCGAAATTTTTCACATTTATTCCACAATTTTATTCATCTTTGGTTCAGTTTTTATTCGATTTTTTAGTAACATTAATGTTCCACTAATTAAACATAAACATATTGGATATTGAGTCTCTTGAATCTTGAATGGTTATAACTAAAATGAGAAATTGAAAAATAAATTATTTTGTTTCGAATGTGTGTCAATTTGTGTTCCATACTTAAAAATATAACAAAATTTTGGTATAACAAAAATGAGTATAAAAACGAGTAAAACTTCCCAAAAAGGCGTTTTTATCTTTCCTTCTTTTTTTTACATCTTCGTTCTAGAAGAGAAGAACTTAAAAATAATAGCAATGGCTTCTTAATCAAGTCTCTTACAATAAACAATTACATATACACTATTTTAATGCTTAAATGCTGATTATGTGGCCTTTATGTTATGATTTTTCGAGTAAATCACGTTTTATTTGGCGTCTCCTTTATTTGGTTGTTCTTTTGAAAGTGATTTCGATTGCTGTGATAGTTTTTCGAACGTTTTGTTCGCCTGTTTATATGGCACGTTAGCAATTCCCAATAAGCCTGGCGATATTCCGATGACATCAGCACATAAACGATGGGATTTATACACGGGGTAAGATAAATTAAAATGTAGCCCATCATATGGAACACGGGAATATTGTGTAATGATCGAATTATTTTGGTAGATGTAATAGGCAAATAACACGTTACAAATGAGACAAAAATTACTAATATCATTTTGAGTAAGCGGCGATCTTTTGTTGTCATCCGACCAGGATACAATATCGATGCACCCGATGTATTTGTCATTCCGGATGTTTTGCGAGATGTTGAACTACCAATGGTACAACTACTGCCCGACAAATTGCCCTTCTCACGATTGCTTCGTTTCGATCGACGAATTGAGCTGGTGTATGAGCGTTTCATGCGTCTGTTCAAAATGGTAAATTCATCAATATTTGCTTCAATAAAATCAAGCAAAGGTCTTATTCATTTATTACCTTGGTGGACTTTCGTTATCCAGGTGCAAATCAATGCCAGAGCTAGACGATGGCTCCACTTGTACGGCAAGAATTTGTAAGCAATTGTTATTGCTTTTTATGTGATAAACCTGAAATTAAAATTGAGTTTTGATGTTATCATAGCTGGTAAATTTCATTTAAACCATAAAAACATACATGATTATTTTCTGTTGAGCTGGTGCTTTCTTCGATTGCTGAATCGACCGTATCTTGAGTCATTTTCACAATATAATCTCGATCACATGAATTATGTCGCTCACCATTCGCTTCAATGAATTCTACCGTCCGACTGATGCTGACATTACTGAGATTTCGATCGTTGGCCGTTAATTTATACTCTTCGTTGCCCTGTTGAGTTTTTCGCAATGCCGACAATGTCGGTGGATAGTCATTGCCAATAGCAGCATCAATGAATTTCATTGCAGTTTTTATATCACCATGACTCTGACTATGTGATAGCAATGTGGATGAATTGTCACTTTCCAGCAAATTCTTTTCGCTAAAACGCTTTTTTTCATTTCGTTCGCTGGAACTTCCATTAACATCATCGGATTTTGGTAACAATTGAACGTCAGTACCATCACTCACATTCTTATTATTGTTTGTTGCGTAGAGTTTTTTACATTGGTTGTTATTTTGTGTTCGCGTACCCAACGTACTTCCAGTGTCATGTGAACGCAACGCCGTTTTTCGTACAATGTAGAAAATACGCGCATAGCAAACTACAATCGAGATACATGGCAATAGGAATGCCATTATGAATAGAAATTCTTTTGGTGAAGTGTCTGGAAAATTGAACCGCCGCCAACCGTGATGAATATGGTTTCATCAGTATCAGCATTAGAATTTGTAGATCGATGTTATTGTCGTCGTCGTCGTCGCCGTCGCCATTATTTGAATATTTGTGATACAAATAAAATTGACATAATTGGTGTCAAAGAAAAGAGCAATAAAAAAGAAAACAAAAACTATTTAGTCAAATATTCCGAATTACTTTGGATTTGTTGTGAATAAATTGAAACCGAATTGTCGTTGTTACTCACTATTTTTATCTGGTAGAATAGAGCATGAACCAATGGTGCGATCTAATCCAAATTCACCCCATTTCCCTTGCCATGTGGGGATCAATGTACAAAACGCCCCCAACCATGTTCCTGCAACCATTAATCCTAAATACTTTCGGCGATAAATTCTAAACGAAAGCAATGAAAAAAAGAAGAATAAAATGCAAAAACTAAGTTGAAAGCACAATATTTTCCGCTATTTTTTATCGTTTTCTTATTTACTACGAAGTTTCGTCAACATTTATTGCCTTATAAAATTTCTCACTCGGAATAACATTCTGTTTTATAGTTTTAATACTTAGGCGAGTTTTACTCCATTCAAAACCTTCAATTGAGTTTTGCGTTTTCTAAAAACGCACATTGTTTGAGTGTGGTTAATTGAAGAAAACTATACCTATTGGCGATTTGTAAAGGGAATTTCCACAAAGGTTTTGAAATATGGAGAAAGAATGTGTCTGAAAGAAGGTCTGCTTCAATGCATGACATATTCGAAATTCAAAGAATCAAAATAATGAAAAATTCTTTGTGAAAAACTCCAAAAGAAAAAGTGTGAGTTGAGAAAAAATTCGATTATAATTTTTGCCTTTCATGCTTCTGAAAAATGTTTTGAATGCATTGCAAAGCATAAATTGTGGCGAATACTCAGAACGCTGTTGTGTAGCTAAGGCGCCATTGCATCATTTTACCTAATCGACGTGATCAAGATATGCCAGTTATTGTGTGCTTTTATGTGAATCCTTTTTTATCATCGATGGATAATGAATTCAGCTCAAGGCAACAAAATTTTTATATGAAAGCAAAACAGATTCTTGATTAAAAACTTAAGCTCTGCAAAACTAAATGACTTAGTGTGGCAAACATACAAATCCACAGAAATTGGGAAAGCAAGAAAAAAGTACCTGGTTGATGCTTTGAAATCCATTTAACGAATTACACCACCACTGAATTTATACATATTTAAATTGCGATGGAAATTGATTAAAACTTGATTCAATTTTTCTATATTAGGTCATAGGTTCATTCTTCTTGTCTCCCCTATATTTTCTCTTTTTTATTACTCATTATCAGAATGCAACAGAAGTGATCATAAAATAGGATTTAAGTTGCATAACATGAACAACAACAAGAATAATGACGCGCTCTATAAGTTTGATTAAAGTGGAAAAATGTATCGATATTCTCAGTGAACGAAAAAATAAAAGTAAAATACGATATAACGATTGAACAAAATCACTATTCGCGAGAAACGAGAATTTATTGTGTTTGCATTTTCTATTGTGTGTACCTAAGGGTCAAGACTAAAAGTCCATTTAGAATTGATTGCAATACAAGTTACGTCTGATTTTCATCCTTTTCTTTTTTCATGCTTGCCAATTGATTGAGGTTGGTTCAGCTTCATTTATTTTTATGAAAATGTACTTTGACGTCATTGTTTCCATGTTTTTTTATATAGTATAGTTCCGTCTTTCAGTTTTAATGAAGCTGGAAACAACATATATATTTTATGTGTTCCCTGGTGAGGAGGTACAAAAGTATTCACTTTTGGTGGCTGCAAACCCATCGAGGGCTTCGGATTGCCTCATATGCCTTAAAGAAGATATGGCGCTGATCTGATGTGATTTATGAATGAAACATGAAAAATTTCTTCTACAAAAATTTCTCCTCACTTTTTAAACTTTAAATAGAATAATAGCTACACAGGAGGAGAGCAAAGAGTGAATGAACGAATATGTGTATAACTGTGTAAGTATATGATATATACAGAATCCATTTGTTAAATAAACAAAACTTTTTGCTTTATTTCAACCTGTGCACAATTTTCAACCTACATTCACTTGTGATTTTCTCGAAAATTGTCGTTCAAACAAATGAAAATAAATTTAAATTGAACGCTCCAAACGAGAATTATATTTTATTAGTTTTCCATTAAGCTGATCTAGGATTTAAAAAGGATGGATTTCACCATTATATCAAAAATATCAAGCATATTGCCAACGGTGACAGTTCTGCGAACATTGAAATATGTTTCACTGCCACTTAAGCATCATGGATCATAAATTTTTTAATATTTTTTGATATCGAGAAAAAAATGTTCAAATGAACTTATTGCAAATTTTATGAACAAATTTTAGATAGAAGCTGATTATTTATATCATCGCAATGAATTATCATCATATCATATCATAATAATAAAAGTGGTAGTATGGAATATCGCCATAAAAATTCTTTCGGTTTTTATTTCACAATAAAACATTTATATCATATTTGGTGGCGCATCAAAACTTTGAACTATCGCTAATGCACTCGTTTAATCTGGATAATGCAGCAAAACAATTATTTTTTAATGTTCTCTATAGGAACTTTTTTTTTATTTCTATCAGGCAACCAAAAGGCCTTTGATCACCAGTAAATTTTCATTTCAAAATATCGCACTCGCTAGTACTGAGAATAAATCAGCATTAACGATGAGCACGAGCAATGGTGAAGGTCGATGATTTATGATTTTTTATCGCATTTTTATTCACTCTTTTAATGCACTACAATTAATTATTCAATTTCATAGTGCTTTCTCGCATTAAAAAGTTTGAATAACTGTTGTAATCGTATGTGTTAAGCCAATAGGTCACCAATTTTTCATGAATAATTCGAAATTTATTTCATATCGACATTTTATTTATGACTTTTTTCTCGATATTTTCAAATGAGAAAAAAAGATCCAACCAAATTGGGCTGAAATAAAAACTCGACCTATATTTTGAAACTATAAGAGTGTAAACAACTCCATACAAAATACAAGTCGAGTTTTATTTTGACCCAATCAATTCACACTTTAACTGAAAAATGAAACAAAACAATCCCAATGCTTTGAGGAGCAAAAACGTATTACACTGTATCCCTTATCGCTTGAGAAAATCCAATATTTTCGATTATCACTGGAAATGTCTACGTGTAGAAATATGACGTTCAAGCATTACGAATCTCAATGTGTTCATCATGAAGCGATTGCTGTTTTTGATGGTGTGGCTGTGTGCTTTCGCCTTTTCAAATGCTCGGCATTTTGTGTGCTCAGTTCTAAGAACATCCCATTTGTGTATGTCGTTTGAGATGAAGTATTTGCTTGAATGCTGCTATATCGATAAAGTAGCAAACATTATAAACGCAATGATTATAATTTATTCGTGCACATATCATACATACATTCTCCGTAAGAGACAGAACAAACTGTGTGAGTTTTATCTATTGATTTTCAATACATTTTATTCGTATGATGTTGAAAACATTCAGAAAAATTGTATTTTTCGTTTGTGAAAACGCTTTTCACGTTGATATCTTGCCGGCATCGATGTCCTGTATATTTATTACTCATAAAGTCTAATACATCGGAATACGATGAAAAAGTGTGTAACGCGATTGTGATTTTCCATCTTGTGCATTGCGACACTCGATAACACATACAAAAACCATCGTTGAATTGAAGTGGTTCATTCACACTTATATTGCTAGTATTAGTTATTAGCATTTTTGGATTTTTATATATAATTAATCCAAGAGGATTAATAGTTAGTCCCAATGGATTAAATTATTATTTTATAATTATAAACATATTTTTGTTTTAAAATTCATGCGTATTCTCTAGCGAGCGCCAAAAACATCATCTTACCTACTATTCTCTCACTTCATACGAAAGAATAACAACAATTGTATGGCAACACTCAAACGGCAACTATATGAAAGTAAACTACTACACACGCATCACTTCTACTGGCGAGTCAGTCGTTGAACGTCGCTCGTATACATCTTTCCACTGAATCGCCAGTAAAAGTGATGCGTGTGTAGTAGTTGACTCTCATATAGTTGACGTTTGAGTGTAATCAAACAATTGTTGGTATTCTTTGGTATGAAGTTGAAAGAATAGTATAAGATGATGTTTTTGATGCTGGCTAGAGAATGTGCATGAATTTTAAAATAAAAATATGTTTATAATTATAAAAAAATAACTTAATCCCTTGGGACTAACTATTAATCCTTTTGGATTAATTATATTTAAAAATCCCAAAGTGCTAAAAATTAATACTAGCGATATAAGTGTGTTGTATAGGAGGTTGTAAGCAGCATAAGAGTGATTAATAAACGGATTGTGGACTACCAAATTGAGCGCCAATTCAAGCCACATCCTCGAACACAAAGTTGAACGATGTTTTTTTCGCTTACTCCAACTTTTCAATCACAAAGAGCTCACTGCTTACAAATCGATTTCCGACTATAAAGCTACACTTGGCTTTGATTTTTCTCTACTGCTTTTGCTGCATGTAAGCCAGTAGCTTTCTATTGGATTCAATTATTTTTTTCGACTATGTTCAATTTTCTGTAATTTTTCCATATATTCATGAAGTCCCGCAGTGTAATTCATTGAATTGAGATGTTGAAAGCTTTGGATTTCGGTACGGTCTGAACATTCAACGAAATACGATGCTTTTTGCTAATTAAAAAGATGCGTACATGTTGTTTCAGCAATGAATTATGTATTCAACTGAATCGTTCCGAGACAACAAAAATATAGATAGAGTGAGCTAAACAATCATGTTTTCATAAATATTCATAACAATGAGCAATAGGAAGAAAAAGCTAAAACCAAATCTTCATTAAGACTGACTAATTATTTGAATTTGTGCCCTCATCATTAGGGTAAAAAAATGCAACAGTTCGTTTAGCATTCGAAATAAATATATGAAATGTAATAAATATTCAAATCGTGCAACTCTTCAATAAGAAATCATATTCAGTGACTGAAATGGTAACGAAACATCATCACATACACATAATAATCATATATTTTTGTATTATATCATTTGGAATGGGTATGCTCTCATGTGATTTAACAAATCCAAACTATTCACGCATGGGGAAATTCACGTGGGAAATATTTTGAGACATGCATGTTCGTCTGATTACATGTTGGTGGTAAAAGATTATATGTTGTTTGAACGCATTTCAATTTCAGACAAATTGAAATTTGTTTCGTCTATCTATAGTCAGAATAAATTTGCGTCTAACCAAATATATACTATGGAAAAATACAATTTAATAAAAAGACGTTTTTTTTTCAATTGTTACCTTGGATAAATTCTTGGGTGACCGATCATCACATATCGATTAATAGTAATGGCCAGTACTGTAAATAATGAAACGGCTAATAAACCATATCGTAACAGTGGATATAAACGACAAAGTAGTTCGCCATGTGTCCAAGCTCGATTCCAAAATGTGCTCGCTGCCAATGGCAAATTAAAGCAGCAAAACAGTAAATCCGATAACGAGAGATTTATGATGAATACAGCAGTTGCATTGCGAACCTGTAACGATATCACAAAAATCAAAATGAATTGGTTAGTGGAATGTTGAATACTCTCGCGCTTTTCGCATTCACTCCATCTCTATCTCTTCGTTAGTTGGTCAAATGTTGTACGATAAAGTTTTATTATGCAGAAAATAAAAATTGTGTTTAATGGTTCATTTTACGATGAAATTGTTTGGCCGGAGCCGATTGTGGAGAGGAGCCTAGATAACATGAAAATGAAATTTTATTTACAATTGTGAAAACTTCAATTTTAAACTCAAACAAAACTTACAGAATTGTAGCGATAAGCACTCTTCAATATATGTGCCCCACACACTGCAAACAAGGACATACACAAATACACGATTTAACAGCATACAATTCACAAATCAAAATCGTTTATTTTACTCATATTTACGTAGGATTTTTTATAAAATGATATTCAATGATTTTTTTTTGCAACACAAATAATATATTCAAACAGTTTGATGTCATGCTGCGACTACACTGGATATTAGTTCCATTTAATGTTTGTTTGTGTGAGCGTTTCAAATCGGTTTACAACGCGATGGTAAACCACATGCATTAATTCGAAAAATCCTCCGGACTTGATTCAATTGATGTAAAAAGCAATAAGTAGATTATGGTAGCTTTATAGTGCCCCGGAAACAATGCTAAACATGTGTTATCCCTAACAAAATGTTGGAAAAAATCGAATCCCTTGAATCTTTTGCGCTCTGTACGATGCCAATGTTTGAAAACACATATATTGATTTGATTGTGATAGATGGATCCGCTTTGTTGGAATCTCTCGGCTAACACATTTTTCTCTCTCTAACCATTGAGAGCGGAAGCATTGGCTGCGAAAAAATTATTGTGTTTCTATGAAAAATTGATACGGAATTATTGCCATATATGGCAATGGAAAATTCTTTATGTATTTTCATCGTTTTTTAGGTTGGCCAAACCATGGTATAAACCATAAACCATCAATATGGTTAACATGTTCATTATTCAAGAATAACTCGGCACCGGAAAAAAGGTCAAGTGTGCGGGAAAACGCAAAGTGTCGAAAATATATAAAAAGTCAATCTATTTTCAACGGAGAAGGAGATTGATAGGTGAGTAGCCTAGTGAATAGCACATTCATTTCCATTGTAATTTAAAATGAAGGAGACATATACATACATATTTATTTTTCTAATTTCACTTTTCCCAAAATTGTATTAAGTAGACACAGTCTACGGTTTCAAGTAATAAAAATATAATTTTTACAACAGGATAGTTACTATTACAATAAGTACTCATGTTCAATTGTTCAATAAGATCTAGAATGCTCGACATTTTATTTCCATTTTAAATACATTAGAAATAAATGTCAAGTATACTGGGAAACCAGCATACAATAAGTGAAAACTTGAAATTTTCAAAAAATCTGCATAATTCCATCAAGTTCTTCAAAAACTTTTCATACATTTTCGAAGGTAAAAAAATAAACAAGGGAATATTACACATTTTCATATATTGCTATATTATTTAGTTGTTACTCTCAAGTTTATTTTTGTTTCTCATATCGAAAATGTTTGTTTAAGTATTTTGTTGGGCCATGCGTACACTGTCTATTAGACTGTGAAAATAATAGCTCATGGTAAACACTTTTTCTCTGGAATTGAAATGAACATCAAGAGGAAAAATGTTTTTCAACCAGTTTTGAGGTATAGAGACTTTTTGGTGCTTTGAATTCATATGTATGTTAAAAAAGAGACCTGCTTAGGAGAAGAAGATGGAGAAGAAAATCAAAATAAAATGCACGATGTTCCATGAGTGTAAAAGAGAGTTCAAACGCATCGATTACAAATAATTTTATGGCTGAAAGTACATCGGTACAACTGCATGAAGTAATGCAAAGTAATACATCAACATTATCCACAAGACCACATTCATTTTCAATATACATAAATTTGGCGAAACAATTCAAGTATGCAGCGAACAATCTGAAACAATCTACTGTCTGAAGAGTCTTGTAAAATGAAAAAATAATAAAATATTTTCAATTTCGGAACTAGTTATAATTGAATTCATTTGATTCAAATTGGTTGTAGGAATACTAGACGATGAGAACAATTGCAAGTGGCGAGTGAAAGAAATACCATGATGATACACCGAATCAAACTCATTCGATAAGCAATTCAAACTTTACAAACCATTACACACTCCATTACCACAGGCCAAGAGAGAAATATAGAGAATGAAGTGGAGGTGAAAGAAGCGAGACGGAGAGGTAACATTAAAATCAATTGCAGCATACACAAACTGAACGAAAGTTCATTTAAAAGGAAAGCTTTTAATGCAAAACACATTATAGTCCAAAAGCCGGCAAACAACAAGGAGAATGAGGTGGAGTCGCGTTGGTGTACACGTTACTGTTATCTAGTCAGAATCAGTAGCAATGAACTTTCAATTAAATTTTCGTAAAATAACCAATTGAACCGATTATGAATGTCTGCAAGTACTTTCATGGATGAACAGGCAAATTTATCGTGTTTTGTCGTCGTCGCTTTTACAAAGTTTGTATTTCCATGTGTCTGCGGATCCGTTCAAAATGAGATAAGAATGAAATGCGACCATTAAATGAGAATTACAAACAAAGGAATTATTTTTTTCTTGTAAAATTACTTTCATTTCTGGTAAATCTTCTTAGCGCTCACAAAACCATTTGATTGCAAACACACAGTGAATTTATCTGAATGTATACAGATGTGACATTGGTTATAGTAATTTGAACATAGTAGTTTATCATCAAGCACAAAGGTCATTTGTGAAAATTATCTCATACATGCATATATAATATATATGCAATTGAGATCTGACTGATATAAAAGCCATGTCTGTTGAAAAATTGATGTCCTCGAATATTTTAACAACAATTTCCGCTGTAATGAGCTTTTTTTACCATCATTGATAAAGTTTTCTTTTGCCTTTTGTCCTCCGCACAAGAAGAAACCGAAAAAAAATACAAATAAAAAATGGACCGTTAATGAAGCAAATAAATTGCATTTTGTCAGATTTAATTGCTTCTATTGCAAAAGATGTGGGTTTTCTATAAAATGAGATAAATTTTCTTGGAAAAAACTCTCATTAATTATCTTTAATATCTTGTCATTTCCCATTGCAACTATGAGCAGGACCTGCTGAAGCTGTGCTGTCGTGCGCATTTTTATACTTTTCATTTGTAAATGAATGTCTTTTTTGATTTTTCGAAAGAGAGATTAATTCGAAAGACTTATCAAGATGGCGAAGAAATATATTGACAATTTGCTTTGATCGTTCGGCAAAAACAAAAACCCTCCTTAATCGAAGCCAATTTATAATTTTCTTCAAAATGATTCGAAAGGAACGTAAGTATAGTGCCTTTTTATTGAAAGCACTTTGTTTTTTTATTTGTATATTTATCGATACCACCTAGTAACACAACGTGCAACGCTTTATTTTTGTCTACATATTTCAATTTCTGTACATTTATTGAAATTGAATCTTTCGCTGAAATTTTCTTTCTGAATGTGTAATGCTCAAACTTAAGTTTATTGAATTTGTTTGCCGTTGCAAAGAAAAAAGATTTGCAACATTATATACTGTTTCCAATAATTTTTGTTGTTGTTGGTACTGTTGGTGTTGGTAGCTTGTTTCGATGCAAGTTTTCAATTTAATTCTTCAAAGTTTCCAGTTTCAAACTATCAAGTAACAAGTAGACAAGTACATTCTTTTGTGGGAATTGGAAAAAATATCAAAACAACCAAATCCTCAATTTGAAGATGCAAATTCCCATTTACCTTGTGCATCGAGAAGTTTTGTATTCAAATCATTCAACTGTCAATTCCACTTTGGTGGAAATGTAAGAAAAATTTCCAAATTGATTGCAAACTTACACGATGCACTAATGTATATTATTTTATTCAATTTTAATCCATAAAAAGAAGACATTATTGATTTGAAAGACGTGATTATTGCCATAATCCAGTAATGTGCGAAGGGGGGGGGGTAGGATTTGGATGAGAAAAAATTTTTCGCGAAAATTATTCGAATTTGCTAGGGTTTTTCACAAAAAAAGTGAAGACCTTTTTTTTTTTTTTTTTAGCTCTTCACTTTGTTTGGGTGAGAAAATTCTTCCGATTTGCTAGGGATTTTCGCCTCAAAAAGTGACTTCCAAAAAAAAAAAAAAAAAAAAAACGATTTTATTGGTATTTCCTGAGGTTTTGCGCGGAGAAAATTCTTTCGATTTGCTAGGGATTTTCGCCAAAAAAGTGAAGAGCAAAAAAAAAAAAAAAAAAAAAAAACGAAATTTGTTGTTCAGATGAGAGAATTTTTAGTTTTTGAAAAATCACCCCCCCCCTGTAAAATGTAGCTCGCACATTACTGCCATAATCCAATAATAATATTATTAATGGTTTGTGGATGCTAATTCAAATGGTGCAATTGCACCAAGCCAACTTGAGAGTTCAACGAACATCTCTGTCGGGGAATTCACTTTCCATTTCAGCAAATCGTTATCGCTTGCAATTGCGTCGCATTGCTAGTTAAACATACTATTTGATTGGTTTCGTATTTGAAGGGAACGTTTTTTTTTATTTCATCGTCAAAAATCGTCTTACAATGCATAAATTGAAATTTTTGTCAACATTTGATTTTATGACTTTTTTAGATTTTTTCTCTTTCTTTCTGTTGTGTACATCACGAAGACAAAGTTTTATTTGATTTCTCTTAGCATCGAATTCGATTTCGTTAGATTTGTGTATTTGTTTGAGTTTAATCATTCCGTATCGGAGAGAAAACATTGCTACCATCAACTCCTAATAATTTGCGTCTGAGATTGCATTTGATTTGAGAAGTGATTTAATGTATTTCAGACGATTCAAGCTATTTGCATTGATCACTGTTATCAGCTCAAATGTTTACTATCCCTCATCTAAATCTACGACTTTCAGTTAGAAGGTTAAATTGAACTTTGAGTCGGAGTGTTTTTCCCTCGAGGGC